ATATGAGTCAAGTGCCAATGGCATCTAATGCCCATCCATGGCACACACAGTTTGTTCAAAACAGCTTCAGAACCTTTCAGAAGCAATAAAACATAAAAAAAAACCCCTGACAACTTGGTATCTAAACTACTTCTTCTCCTTAGGTTCACTGGACTAACGTGTGTAATGTGTTGGCTTGAAAGACATTCATATTCAGAAGTTGAAGGATGGTATCTCCAGTAGAGGGGTCCGAATGACACACATTCTCTCAAGACCTGGCCCATCAGCTTAATTCTCACTGCAGCCAACAAAGCCAGTTCAAGATCTGTGTGAAACGCTGTGTGTTGTGGAAATGAGGGAAAGGGAAATGTTTGCATTCCCAGGTCAAATGTCCACTCCAAAGTAAACTCATCCCATTTGAAATTCTTTGCATGGACTGCAATTTAATAGATTCACTTTTTCCTCTCAGTGACCCCACTGCTGAACTGTCAAACCAAATTACTGCAAAATCAGGACCAAGACCTTTTATGGTGATATCTTGTATTACCAAGGTGCTGTCTTCAGTTAGAGTGCTGAAGGCACTGCCTTCTCTGCTAGAACATCAGATCTATTCAAGTAGCACAGCTGTGTAACTCTGATCTGAGGCAAAAAAACTCATAGGAAGAGAAACACCCTTCCTAAGTCATAAGGACATTTGTTTAAATCAAGGGAGGCTACAAGATGTTACAGAGAAAAAAAAAAATCTGTTTCATTTGCTAAACTTTACAGATAGAACTCTGACAAAAAGACAGAAAGTTTGATGACTTTCATCTGCGATCCATATTCTTTGGTCTCTACTAATTGACAGTTATTGGAAGTTCCTAAGTACCTCGTGGCATCTGTATCAAATATGAAATTGTAGAGATGCAGCTGAGATTACAGCATTATTAAAGCTTAAAATTAATGGATGTTCTAGCCTTTTTGCTTGTGTCATCATTAAGAGCAGGCCTGGCTCTGTGTGGGATGAACAAAGACTTACATGCATTTAAAGAACTGAACTCTGTCATAACTGGAAAAACTGAAGTATTTAAAACCCCGCGAGATAGCCAGTCATCAGCCCATCTATAATAAAGACAGGAATATCAAACTCGCTGAGGAGATAACAATTCAGCAAGGCTTCAGTGATATTTATAAAGATTTCAGGCTACTGAAAGGCTATTACTTACAGGCTATTTTGCTTTTAGAGCAAAATTTGCTGTGGATCTCACTAAAAGTGCTGGTACCTCACATGGATTGAGTGGCATTTCCTTCTGTCCTGGTTTTTAGCTGAAATAGAGCTGGGTTTCTTTTTTTTTTTTTTTTCTTTTCAGTAGTTAGAATTGTGCTGTGTTTTGCTTCCAGCCTGGGACTCACTGTGAGAGAGAGAGTGATAACATACCAATGTTTACATTTTTGTCACTGGAAGTGAAGGACTTTGTGTTCTGCTAGTCCACAAGCACAAGATTTAAGGGGGGAGAAGAGTATTTAAATTAATAAACTTAATTGACAGTTAGATATGCCAATGGGGTATTCCATATGATATCACGTCATGTCCAGTATATTAGTGAGGGTCTCTTCCTCTCTTGCTCTCTCTGGCTTTCACTCGGGCTTTCACTCTCCCAGGATTGTGGTTTCAGTTCGGGATTGTCGCTCCTCTGGGATTGATATCTGGGAACAGTCTGGGCTCGGTCAGGAGGGGGGTGAGCTATAACATTGGGTGTCATTCACTTGCATATTTTGTTGCTGTTATCATTATCTCTACTATTTTAATATTAGTATTATTTTAAGTTTTCTCTCTATTATTGAACTGTTCTTATCTCAACCTACAAGCCTCCTTATCCTTGCCTCCTCAATCCTCTCCCCTATCCCCTGGGGGTGGGGAAGTGGGTGAACGGCTGTATTGGCTGCTAGCCAAGGGCTAGCCAAGTGAAACTATCACACCTTCATCACCCCTTCTAGAAGGGATGCCTCTCTGAGAGCAACTGATGTCAGGAGAATGCAAAACAATATTTCAGTACTTCCGTACTTCTGATGTGATGCTGTTCACATAAATAATAGAGGCTTTTTCATAGCAAACGATTGAGGAAAAGAACGTACTGCAAATCTAATCAGTATGGCTTTCACTGCTTAGACATGGAAGTTTACAGGAAGAAAACACACTTTTGCTGTGTGTTCACTTTTGCTGTGGCCTTTAGATGTACTTCAGTTGGCAATGCAGCCTGTACAGGCCTCTCACTTGACAAGGAGGCAAGATGCAGCATCATTGCAAGCTTTGGCAATGTGATGTGATGCGGCCTTCGGAATGTTGATCTGGGAAACATAAGCTCTTTTTAGAATGCTTTATGAGTATGTGGAGATCTAGGGAGGATAGGCACTATCACAAGGGAGAGCTTTTATAATAGTATGCTATAAGATGCAATTTTTATTCTGGGCAACATGGTTACAAATCTAGAAAGCTCTGAAAAATTCACTGAATTTGCTGCTTGTTTCTAAGCTCTGCAGAGATGAAGCAGAGCAGGAATTTTCACCTTTTAAAACCTTTATGATACTTTAAAACCATTCCCACAGTACATTAAGATGAGTCCAAAGTCCTTTCACAATTTTGAAATAGGAAATTCTGCAATATTTGAGGGGTTTAGACTTATGTTATATCTCAAAGAAGTAGTTAGGGAGTTGACATGGTTTAGCTAGTCGAGTGGAAGTTGCACATTACATATAAACAGATGGCCACAGGGAAGATTTTGCTCATAAATTCAGCTATTTGTATGTGTCTCCATGTAAGCAGAGTGTCTAGGCCTGCAGTATAGTCAGTGGAGGGCTGGTCCATACTGTCAGTGGAAACTAGAGTTGTACAGGTGAGCAAATGGAAGTGTCTACTGCAGGCTAAGCTGATGAGAAAAACGTTGCACTGACTGTCTTGAATTAGTGACATAGAGAGCCGTGCCATTTGAGAAGCCCCATTGTACCGCACTCGGCTTCCCACTTCCCAGTTAGAAGGTGTGGATCTTCTATAGATCTTGTACCATATTTAGTAGACCCATGTGAATGCCTCAGATACTCTATAGCCTCTGAAGTGGCACTAGATATCTATGTTTAGGGAAATGAACCAAGATCATCTACATCACCCAAACTGGTTGTCTTAGCCTTGAACTGACTCCCAGAAATGCCCATTCAAACGGTAATAATAGTGTGTTATAGCTGGGAAAATCATTGTTATGGAAATCATTCCAGAACTGCTAGTAGATTGTTATCAAGGCATAGAAGAAGTACACGAAGTGAATCATCCTGCCTTTCAACAAGTCTGATTATGTCTGAACTCATTTAAGTTACAGGAGAAGGGAAGCTGGCTCATGGCTTTGGACAGAGAACTGCAGACTGCTGTACTGAAGGAGATACTTCTCCCACTACCAGACAGCTGAAAAAATCTCAGAACAGAGAAAAAAGTGAAAGCCTGGAACAAACAGCAAACTGGTCCTAGGCCAAGTCCACAAAATGAAAGTGCACTAGGGTAATTCCAAGTCCTGACTGACTCTGAAATCATGTGTCCCAGGTTCCAGAGGTTCCAGCCCCTGATGTGCACTGTGGCAGTGGTGGGAGAAAAGAAAAGAAAAGAAAAGAAAAGAAAAGAAAAGAAAAGAAAAGAAAAGAAAAGAAAAGAAAAGAAAAGAAAAGAAAAGAAAAGAAAAGAAAAGAAAAGAAAAGAAAAGAAAAGAAAAGAAAAGAAAAGAAAAGAAAAGAAAAGAGAAGCCTACTGTCTACCTGAAAGATTCTCCTTCTACATTAACAATGTAAACATGATGAATATGACAAGTAGTACTGAAGGGACATATCAGACTTCTGGTGCCTTTAACTCATCAGATTGTGCAGCACAGTGGCTCACAAAAACAAAGTATAGACACAAGCAACTCAGATATATGGCAAGATTTTGAGGTAACTGCATCTCACGGGTAAGGTGCCTGTACCTTTTGGGGAAGATTTCACCTCCCTGTTTATTAAGAATTATTAAACAGAGTGGTCAGAATTTATTGAAGGAAAGTTGAAAAGAGAACTGAGAACAATCTGCTGTCAGTATATAAAAGTGGCATGATCCTAACCAGAGAAAGTAGTGTTACTTCTTGTTAACATCACCTCAGAATTAATGAGGAAGAGGGGAAATGAAGAAAAGCAAAAAAACCCATTAAATAGTGGTGCTTCATTAGCTGAAGTGAGAAGACATGCTCATTCTTTCTCATAGAGCCACACAGGGAGCCCACAATGAAATTAAGAAGCAGCACATACAAAATAAATACCAATACAGCAGGAATTTTTTTTCAGGAATAATTGAGACGTGGAATTAATTTCTGCAGAGACTCAAATTTTAACTGGAGGAAGATGACACGCTTAAATGCAGGCAAATGAGACACTGGCAGTGTAAGTAAGGGAAAATCTCTCACACTTTGTGGTATAAGTCAAACACTGAGGGATATTAATGAAACATTCCTTTCTTGAATAGCAGTACCTAAAATTAATTCTGAGGAACATCACTGACCCTGCCCCCAACCCTCTTTTCTGAATGCAACAGGCATTGATCACTCAGAGATAGGTATCCGCACAGAAAAACTAACTCTCTCAACTCAGCATGGCAATCTCATTATAAAAATGGGTCACCTGCAGCATATACTTAACAAGAGCCCAGCTCAGGAGTAATGCTCATGCATAACCAGAAATCATATTTGTAATTAATGAGAAACTTCAAAGAAGTCTTAAAATGAAGAACAATAATTTTATAATCTGAGAAGATTTCTTTTCCTCTGCCCTGACTTCCCAGGTAATAACCTGAATTTGATAAAGCTTTGTGAACAAGGGAGACCTACAAAGAGGGCTGGGAAATTCAGATACACATTAACAGAAACTTCTGCAAGAGCAACAGACTGATGAGACCATGACCCCATGAAAAAATATCTCAGGTCTGTACAATCAGGCATTCAAGTAGGTTCCATCTCCTGAGAATTAATTACACTGACAGCAGGGGACTCTACTTACCTCACCATTCAAGAAGCAGTAAAATACTGACACAAAGAAACCCTGGAAAGAACAGAAAGCAGTCAATTATTAGGTAAGTATTTTAACACGCGGAATCAAGGACTGAGCTTTATCCTGGCATCATTCTGAGCAAAAACATAATCCTGTTGAGAATATCTGCTTCTAGACAGATTAAATATTTACCTTACAACTTCATGAGAAAATACTAAGTGTCTTGCAGCTCACAGGTGAGACATGAGAGCTAGAATCTAGACAGCTCTTCCACTGATAGAGGGGATTGCCACTTCTGTGCTAAATTATATCTACAGCTTCCAGCTGTCTCCCCAAAATGGCACAGACCTTCACAGGTGCTATGTCATTTCTGCCAGCTCCATGGCGATGTCTCAGACACTCAAGGGGGTGGTCCAATAGCCTTAGATGGTCTTGAGTTTCAAGTGTATCATCAGGTTGTTTACGTTCATTTGAGCCGAATTGCTCTGTGGAATCTATTGACAGCAGTGACTAGGCCCCTGTGATGATTGCTAAGATCATAATGATGATAATGGAAGCTCAGATGACAACATGATGACACTTTCATCTCTAAACTCGTGAGCAGAATCCTACTCATTTTGCTTTCAGCAATAGATTGTCATTATTGTCACCATAAAGGACAGATTCCCCCTGCTTTTTTTCTTACATATATCTTCATAACACTAACAATAAAACAAGCAGTGTAGCATTTTTTGAGACATTGAGCATCAGCAGGTAAAAAATACAATTATTTTTAGGGAATGAAAAATGTGCATTGGCTCACTGGTAAAGGTTAAGGTTCCTTTGTTCATAGATTAAAAGGGACATTTTTCATTTTGGATATTCAGTTTCAGTTTCTGCTGGGATGCTCTGTGTCTCAAAGGTAAACATGCAATCACTAAAAACAGTAATCCAAAACTCAAAATTTTGTAATCCATAACCCTGGACTTGGCTTGACAGCGTGTGTGCTGTATATTTGTATTGATGTCCTAGGTACCAGAGTGCTTGCTCCTGCAGATAACACATCAATGTCAAACATAGTTCCACCCTAGTTCAAGAAAGTCTTTGAGCAGAGGTAAAGCTGTAGGACACAACTAAGCAGAAATGTGTGGCTAAACAGCATTCAAGGTCTTCAGTCACATTTGGTTTTGTGACAAATCCAGAAAGCTGGGGTAATTACTTATGTTCCACTGCCTTTTATATGCTGGTAGAACTCTTGTTAAATTCAGGGAAGGGAGGAGATAGGGTATGAGTTTTGAGTTGGTATGGTCTGATGGCTGAGTGCATGCACCATCGCAGGAGAGCTGGAGTGAGAGGCTGGACAATAAAGCTGATGTCTTAATCAAATGAGCCAAACAGGTAGGAGTTGTTTGCCTTTGCTTTAGCAACATCTAGTCTAAGTCCCAGCTCACTGTGGAGAGGTACCTTGGGAGAGTGATTCATCATCCTCTCTCAGGCACTTTAGAACAGGATGAAACATCATCTGTCTCTCCATTGAGAGTAGATGGAGCCCAGGTGAGGAGCTGCAACTATAGGCTGAACACAGTGCTGATGTAAAGGGAGATGAATCCCTTTGGTACACATGGAGAGGAGAGCTCCACTCCATATGTCATACTTATATATCTATTACATAATCATGAACAAACCTGAGCTTTTTTCAACTATTATTTCTATCATGGACTTCATTGCCATGTCTGAAAAGCACTAAGGATCCTTTCAGCAGTAGCTGGTATCTGCTCTCTTACCTGAAAAGACTGCAGGAAGGAATTGAAATAGATGAAGACAATCTGGGAAATGTCATCTTCACCAGGGTTGACAAAGAAAAGCATATAGGTGATGCCTAGCAGAGGCAGAAGAACTAACGTTGCCTTGACTGCCTTCCTGTGCAGAGGAAACAGAAAACACAACTGAACACAAGAAAGAACAACAGTATTATCTGAACTGCTGTTGATTGACCCAATCCAAAGAATTCACCCCTTTAGTGGAGAGAGCGGATGCTAGAGCATTTGCTGAGGATGGCAGTGGAAGCCCATATTTGCACAATGGCCAAATAATTTGAGCTTGTTCCCAGGAGGACATCCAAGTTTTAGACACTTCTTAGCCTGCCTGCACAGGAACAGTCCCAAGGTTCATGACCACTTTATTGTATAACTCAAGATGAAGGCTCCTAAGGTCCTGAGGCAATGAAGAACACAAATTTCTTAGGGCTTGGGAGAGGATATTTAAGAGGGACCCCAGGGGATCCCAGGTCCAAAAGGCTGGATAGAGTTTAGGAGGGGGGTGTGGAAAGTTTTTAAAGAGTGACAGTCTCTGCTTTGGGTTTTGAAGCCACAGATGAGTTTTTTAGTTAACACTTTCTGACTAGTGCCTGACCACCTGGAGAAACAAGTTCTGGGAAAGTGTTTGCCTTTGAATCCTGCTGTTCATCCCCACACCCTGAACTCCAGGGGACAAATGGAAACCTTTTTTCATATCCCTCCCTTTCTCTCTCCTCTTCCTACAGAGAGTTTCTCTCCTATCAATGAGGTTTGAATTAGACTGAAGCCTTGAGCTTCTCTCTAACCCCAGTGAGTGACTTCTTACACCTCAGGGTGATGTAGTAAGTGTGTAATTTATTTTTTTTAATGCTGTGCCTGTGAGAACTGATCTAATCCCATCTTTTGATTCTGTTTGGAGTATAAAAGTTTGCTCTCTCTCTGCAACACCTGCACACCCAACACAATTGCTTAGAGCTGTGTTATCAATAATAAAAAAGCAGATGGTGAACAATGAAGCAAAAGTGATTATTAATAGAATTATTAGGGGCTAATCTTTATTATTGGTGCTATAATAATCTATTGGGATGTCAGTTGCAGAACAGCACCTTGTTGTGCTGATACTCTACAAACATAGAAAACTTCAATTTTGCAAAGTCTGTATAAATCTCTGTATAATGCCATAACAAGCAGATAAAGACAGGCAGGTAGGCATGCAAGGGAGCAGAAAGACATTGCCAGTGTCAGGAGACAGTGATGGTCTTAACAAAGTAGCTGTCACATCATTTAATACTTGCTTAACAAATGTTTGGACAACACAGCTTTAGAGCAGCAAGGCTTGCCCCAGGCTTTCCTGGAATTATAAGGATTTCTATTTAGGCTGTAAAAAAGAAGATTCCCTCACAAAGCTTGTAGCAAGGATAAGATCATCGTCAACTGTTCAAGGACAAAGGCAGTTATTTTAGATTGCCTCAGAATCTAATATCTCTAATGCTGCCTGCAAACTGTGGCAGGGAGAAAAATGTACTGAGACTTGAATTAGTGTTTTTTCATTCTAGTTTTAGTTCTATGGCATGAGGTTTGAGGATGAAAAAGGGGTATTTTTGCCCTTCATTTCTCAGGAAATGAAATGTGCAGAGAAGAGTCTGAACAAGAAAATCAGACCATTGCATTAAATTCACATTTGTCTCCAAACCTCAGACAGGATTAAAAGACAGCAATCAAGCAAAACAACAAAACCCCATTACTGCAGCAAAACTGCCTCCAAAGTCAAGAGAAGGCCGATTTGAAGACATCAGGATTCAAAGCTCAGTTTGATACACTGAGATTTTATCTAGAAATTATTTAGAGGATTGTGATCAATCTTATTCCACAAAATCTGTGCTATTTCTCAATGTGAGGACCTGTCTGTCCATAAATACTCCAAAACTCTGGTTCATCTTGCAAGATATTGCAAATGGTAAGACAGGAAGGGAACTCAGAATCTTCTGATCTCTAAAAATTTGCTTTTAGACTGTTTAGGCAGCTGAAGGGAGAGGGCACATCACCCTTCATTCCCACACCCTACACTTTAAAAAGAATGTTGAAACCTACTGTAGATACCTGTGATCATTGGTAATGATACTGCTATTGATTACAGATATCATGTGAATGTCTTGGCCAAGAATCTGTTCTTCTTCTGTTTCTGTTAGGATATTGGTATGAACAAGGATTTTAGTATGCATATGCACATAATTTATTGGGAAGTCTTGATATTGTATTGTTCTGCATCTACAATGCTAGAAACCAGGACAAAGAAGCAATCTAGTAGGCACTGAACAGTTTTCCACTGATTCTCCAGATCAGCTGAATGGTTGTTCTAGTCATCAGTGAAAGGAGTTATGATATATTTACATAATATAATACATATGCTTGTGAACATACAGAAATTGATAAAGCTCTTATCCTCAAATCCTTCAGATTTCATCGAAAGGGGGAAATTTCACGTGTGCACTGGGGCATGTGCCAGCCTGAAGGAGGTAAAGAGGCTGGTGGCTGCGGCAGAGCACGTGTCTCTGTGCCTGTACACCAAGGTTGTTCCCATTGTTTGGACATTGAAATGGAGTGGACAGAAAAAATGTAGGCATGCGTTTATGGATAGTCTGTAAAAATAAATACTGTATACCTAACTATATGAGCTCAAAAGGGGCACGAAAGACACCCTCTGACATCAACAGTGACATCTGGGAACACAAAGATGGGACAAGGACAGGGCAGGCAAAGCAGTTCTTTGTTAACACCACAAACAGAAAGAAGCACCAGCTGACTTACCTGTACTGTATTGTTTCTGAAGTGGTTGAAGCTCTCAGCTTTGTCATTAAAATCCTAACTATGTTAAATAGAAATACAAAATTTATCTGGAAAAAGAAGGAAGAGAGAAGAAAAAAATAAGACCAGTGAGTCAAACAGTGGCTTAAAGGATGTGATACACCTTAAAAGGCACATTTTGCAGTTGAAATTCGATTGAAAAAGCTCTTGGTTTTATCATTGGTTGCAACAGACTCAGAGTTTTACTAGAAATATCAGATTATGCAGCAAATATCCAACGGCTATTAATGTTTTCAAAATAGCAATGATAATGGAGTACAAAATTAACACTTCCAACCAGATACTTATTTTTACTCCTATTTATTCCTTTCGTGGGTGTTACAAAGAATTAAGGGTGGGATTTGTTTGGCTATTTCTATCCGTCTCTGTCTCCGCATAGGGTATTTGGTAGCTCTGAGCTGTGTTGACATGGCAGGCATTTGAAACCATCCTCCCATCCCACAACAGGCTGTACTGGTTAGGTAGGGCTCCCCAGACCCAATGTACAAGACTGCATTGCAGAGATCTGAATATGAGCTAGTCCTACTGGATTCCCTTGGTAGTTGGTGGAGGCTATAGATCTCACTCCACAAGAGTCATTTAAAACAAAGCAGATTAATCACACCTGAAAAATTACTGGGGTTTTTTGCATTATCTTTACAGGTGAGATGATGGATTTACCACGTCCCTTTTTAATGTGCTGAGCTGGGTAATTATTATTTCTGTTACAATCTCACTACTGAGAATTGAGATTTGTTCTAATTACTGTTGTTTAGCATCTGCTAGCAAGTTTCTTACATAAGTTTCCTCTCAGTGTAATCAGGAAAAAAAAAAAAAACAAAACCAAAACAACCTGAAAAAAAGGTTCAGATTTGTAGACTGTGATCAGCAGAAGGATTTGGCACCTAGGAGCACGTTTTGGGTCCCTTTCAACACATAAAGTAGGGTAGCTTACAACATAAGGATCTGTCTCAAAATTGTCATTGATGTAAAACTGTCAGAATTACAGAATTGTTATCTCTGGACTGCCGAGGTCACAACCTAAGCTTGTGAGCAGATATTTCTCTCACATGCATTTCCAGAGTCCCAGGACTCCTGGCATTTTGCAGACTATGAATGGAACAATTCTGTGATTGACTTCCAATTATTTCTGAACACTGTAGCTGAGCTGCCAAGTTAAAGGTGTTCTCAAAATATGCTCCTTTTTTTTTTCCATGCAATGTGGTATATTTCAACGATTCCAGTATCTTGACATCCATCATATCAGTCCCTGCACTTACTGTAACATTGTTTATAACAAATGGTGCAATAAGCACCTGAACAGAGACTGGGATACTGGCAGCGTTGGGAATCATGTACATTAAACACCTATTATGTGAGATACAAAAATGCAGCTCTAGGAGTGAACATGTGACATTTTTAAAAATTATTTCCTTAGCAGAGCGGGGCCTTAGGGTGTATAAGAAATAAATAAAACCATCTAGTTTATATACTTGTTCTTGGTAAAATTGTCTTTGTCATCTTTAAGAGCTTAAAGTCAACCGCTTCTCACTTTATTTATCAGAGACAAAACCAGTTTCATATCACTGGTTTGTCTGGAATCTTTAACTCCTCACACTGACGACTGCACCATTCCTCAATAACAGAATGACAAATGTTTGGGCAGTGCCTAATGAGGGGGAGGTGGATGCAGATGTCCTTTGCAGAAAGAAAGCTTCTGCCTCTGAAATTCTGCTACCAAATCTTGAGGTTCTTCACCAGCTCAGAGCCAAGTTTGGGTTACTTCCATTGAGGATCAAAAAAGGCATAAATCTAAAACTTGTCATTTTGGCAGTCATAATGGAAGGTGCCAGATGGAATTATAGACTCTTAGGCAAGGGGAAATTCCAAATATAAGTAAGAAGAATCACATGGGATTCATGTGATGAGCTGGACTGGAGAAAGCATTTCAAGTTTCATGAGTCCTAGTCTGATGTGACAGCAGGGAACTGGAAATTCAAATTGCCACAGGCTGCATCAGAAAAATTAGTGATTTTGATCTTTCTGAAATTAAATTGCAGAAGTGTGATTCATCAGTCTAAAAGGAGAATTGCTAGCTGAAAAGTTTGGGAGTTACTTCACTAGAAATACTCTTAT